CTTTGTGCTGGTTCCAGTAATTCTGCTGACAAAAAAATATCACGTAACTACTGCAGCTCCCTGCCGGGTGTATGACCCCAAATGTTTCTTACAGTCCTGCCTTGTCACAGCGGCAGAAATCCCGAGTCCTTGCTGCAAAGCAAACAAAGCACCTTGCTGTTATCTTTGGGAGAGGCTGTTGGGAACACTTCTGTGATGAGGAGGGCGTGTGTGCGAGTCTGAAAGGCTGAGGGAGCCAGGAGGTATCTTCTCCATAGGAAATACTTGGTGACCGGGCTGTGTGGCATTCCTCTGAGATTAAAAACTACTCCTTCCACCGTGTGCAATTAAACAAACACTTGAGTCATGCTTTCAGAGTGCAGGCAGATGAACTGCTCTGCTTTGGGTTCCCCATTGGGTTGAACCCTGTGAACGTTTTTTGGCTTTGAACTCTGCAAATGCTCATTGCTGCCTGGGCTGGGCTGTGTCTGCACAAATAAAGGAGACCGAAAAGGGGTGTAGGAGTGTGCGTGTGAGGAAAGGGAGCTCCTGTTCAGCTGTCATCGCAACACTGCTGTGTGTGGATGGGTTGGAGGGTGGGCTGGAGGTGGAGGCCGGTTCCTCACCTGGCCTTGCTGCCATTGAACTCCTTCCGTGCTCATTTACACAGCAAGAGAGAGCAAGGGTGTTAACCAAGGTGTGTCCTGGGTTCAGGACTTGGCCCTCATTAAAATATCACGGCCCTGACTTTGGACCCTTTAAAAGTGGCAGCTTTGTTTTGGGGAGGCCATGCCAACTCTCTGGCGTGTCCCCAGGCCTTGAAATGTCCTCACTGCATCTTGGTGAGCTCAGACAACGATGGTCTGGGCAGGAAAAGAGCAGGGTGCTCACAGAAGGCTCTTCTATCCGTCTGAAACATAATTGCTGTTTGCTTTGAGTCCCTGTGGCTGGAAAATGCACTGGTGTAAAAAAAAGGCCCGTCCTCCCCAGCTGCAGCCAGGGCCTGAGCTCTGTGCCTGCTGTCTGTGCTGGGATGTCCTTCAGCCTGAGTCTGGGCTGTGGATGAGCCAAATTTAAGGGGCTGTGGAGGAAAATGGGCTTTGTGAAGCCTGTAGCCAGGAGCCAGAAGATCCCAGAATTGTCATCAGTGCAAGCCTGAAACTCGGGTTTTGGAAAAAGCCTTTTGTGATAGTCCAGATGCATGAGGCATGTGTTGAGATTTTGCCCTCTCCTCTTCTCCCAGGAACCTCATTTCCCCACCCTAAGAACAGAGGAACCCCAAGGAGGATCTCACAGCATCTCTGGGCATCTCTGGCCTCTTCCCATTTAGGGATTCCTGCTCCAGAAATGCATCCTACCCCTACCCCTTTCTGATGGGACCGAAAAATGGAGTCCTTCTTCCTCCTCCAGCCCTGAGAGCCCTCATCTGCGGCCAAGGGAAGGGCTGGAGAAGGATGGAGGAGCTGTGCCAGAGCCTCAAGGGACTGTTTGGCTTGGCGGGGAAGGACTGAGGAGAAGGGAACAAAAAAATAACAGGTTGCTCATTTTTTGAGTCATTGCTGTGTCTAGGTTTCCTTCTGCCCCTCAGAAAATTTTGTGATGTAGAATTTGGGTCATTTTCTATCCTCTCCCTCACCTGGGCATTTCTAGATATTCCTTTTAATGCATTATTCTGCACAGGGGTCCCATCCTATATCTCCTGTGCAAACAAGGAAAACGTACCCTGTGCATTGAGGCCAAGGAGCCCTACAGCAACCACCTGCTCCTCTTCTTGATTTACATCACTTTAATTTTTAACGGCATTCTACTTTTTATTTTTATTTTATTTTATTTTATTTTTATCCCAGCCTTGCCTTTTGGGAAGGGAGTGAGGATGAGCTTAGGTCCAGCTCCAGCCACTGTAAGCCAGGATCCAAGGAAGGGCAGAAAGGAGGAGGACAGGAGATGCCTAAAACGGAAATTCCTCACATTCATCTCCAGCCTGGCAGGGTGATTTGGGGATTAAAATCCATGACAACAAAGGCAGGGAAATAAAGCGGCTTCCCAAGTCTCGGAGAGCCATTAAATATAATAACCTGCAGCGTGCAGAAAACTGGGAGACACCAAGCTGGGCTCGGTGGTAAAGTCACTGCTTGTAGGTGGTGCCCACAGGGGTACAGAGAAAATAAATCCAGCCCTTGCTGTAATCTATCATGTACTTGTGGAATTCAGGAAAACAGGTTTTTCTGTTAGGTTTTGGCCTCATTGCAGGAAAAGGTGTGTTCCTCCAGCAAAATAATCAGTGCATGGTAAGTCACCTGCTGTAAAATCCTGGAGGAAGAAATTTTATTAAGTGATAAATACGTCTAAGTCATCATGGGCAGAAAGTATGCAACCACCATGTTCAGTTACCCTGCAATAAAAAATAAAATACAATTAAAAAAATATACAGTCCTGTTGTTATTTCACTGTAAAGGTTAATTTTTAAAGTGACAAACCTTTGGTGACTAAAAAAGGCATTGAAATGCCTTTACTGATGCCAGGACTGATGTACTCAGCATATACTGTATTTATTTAACTTTGGCCCTAAGCAGCAGGATTGTTGCTGTGAGTAATACGCACAGAGGAGTGATGTTTAATTTTAATCATACTGAACTCTCTCCTTCAAATCCTAGTTTGATCTCAAAGATCAAGGGCCTCAGAACTGTTCATGAACCTGCTGGTGGATAGAGTTTAGGAGGTACATTCAGACCAGGGAAGAAGCGATCAGAAATTCAGACAGCTTTTTAAAAATAAGCAGTCAGTTGCAGCCTATCTTATCTACGCATTTTGTTAGAGAACAAATTGCTCTCTAAGGACTCCAGATGATTTCTTTTTTTTTTTTTTTTTTTTTTTTTTTTTCACCAGTTTTAAACTTGCCACTCAGCTTTGATGCAGGCTTAACTAGGAAAAGGGCAGTCCCCCTAAACACCTTGAGCCTTTTGGATCAGCCAAAACCCAAACCAGAAAGGCAAACAGTGAGGGCTGTGATCCAAAGTGGGGACCAGGGACTTGATTCAGATAGGATTCTTATATTTTCCTTTTATTCTTAGGGGTATTGTTTCAGGATTTCTGCAGCTTATAGGAGCCCAATTGGTCCTCATGTAATTTTGGTCTAATTATTATTCTGTGCATATATTTGTTTCAGGAATGGAGAAGAATGGGAAATCAAGTGTGTATGGTGTGCATGCAGAAATATAGCTAAAAAGACTTTTGCCTTGAGAAAATAGGGTCTGATGAGACCAGTGCTGTATGATCTCAGCTTCGGTGTGTTTGCTGCAGGGTTTTGCTGGCTCTGATGGTGGCTGCTGTACTTTCTGATGAATGCCAGGAATGCAAGGCTGCCTGCAAGTGCTAGGCATGCGCTGAGCACACATCAAGCCTGTCACGGATTTAGGAGTGGTGATGCTTAAGCTTAGGATGGCAGGAAGGTGCCGCAGTGAAAGCAGCTGTAATAGTGATACTTCTGGACAGGTATGGGAGTGGGAAGAGTGGCGTAATGGAGAAAAGTGCAAGGTTGGACAAAGTTTTGTGAATCCTCCTGGCAGGCACTATTTCTGCCCCCACTTGCTCTCATCAAGAAGGCAGCATGGCAAGGAGGATGCACTGGCAGATGCGGTGGGGTAGGCGCAGAGGATCCTCAAATCTCAAATCTCACACCTTCAGATCTCAAGGTTTGATGGCAGGGAAGCTCAGTCCCTCTTGAAGGTGCCCTGTCCAGCCCAAGGAGGCCAGCACAGTCGTGATGGAGTTCACAGTGTTGCAGGGGACTGCTGATCCTATCTTGGTGCCACTGTGCCCTGTACTGTCGTGAAGGGGCACTATCCAGACCATGATCTTAATTGTTTTTGGGGCTAACAGCTTGCTTACACCTCTTTACTTTGCTACAGGGGACACAGGGGGACTGGCAGGTATGTCTTGAAGTGAGGCCTGGTGCTAGGCAGCGTGAGGATGCAGCAGGGTGTGATATAGAGAAGGGTAGAGGAGTGACTATAATGTTATTTCCTGTCACCGCTTTCAAACTGTTTGCCCTTCTCTGCTTCTTCTCCCTTCTGAAAACTCTAACACCTGCATCACCACCGCTTTACCGGAGTTTCCAGTCTGGCTGACTCACCTACCAGCCTGTCCAGCAGCCGCTTCCCCTTCAGCTGATAGCGTGATGGGTTTTGGTGGTGTCCTCTGGAAACCCCCCTGCCCTGGGGCTTTTAAGACTTTACAAGGATTCTTGAGACACCCTGGCTGCTTTCCTGCTGTCCTCACTGCCAAAATATTTGACCCTGTCCAAGCCAGTATCTCCTTTATTTTTTTATTGTGGGTTTGCAAAAGGGATGCTCCTTCCTGGGTCCTTCAGAAAGCATCTCACTTGTTTGCTCTTATGCTTTGTGCTAGCATGGAGGAGTTTTGCTATATTAAGGCAGTTTGGAGGGCATAAAATTAGCTGAAGTCTGAGCTCTTGAAGGAACAGCTCGATTCCTGGCAGGGATGGGCAAGCAGTCCTAGTCCCAAAGTATTTGTCACCAGGTGCACCCCAGAGCTGTCACTGTCAGTGAGGGACTTTTCCCTTCTGTCACCGGAGCTGCTGTGCGCACAGCTGCTGAGGAGCAAGGACTTTGAATCCTCTGACAGCTCCATCGATTGCATTAAGATCACCTAAATAACCAGAAATAAAAATAAACAACAGAAAAAAAATAATTAAAAACCTCCCTCAACCACTCAAGTAGATGGCCACTTTATTTTCCCAGTGTGGATTCCCTTTCTTTCCCTCTCCCTGCTTGACAGCATCATCTTTTTCTCCTTTAAAAAAGGAAAAAAAAAATGTAATCTATTTTAAGAGCAGGGGGCAGGGCAGAGGAAAACAGCTCGGCTCGGTACAAGCCTCAGGGCAGCGAGGAGTTTTTTCTGCTTTCTGCCTCGCTGTCTCGAAAGGAAAGCTTGCAGCTTTTTGTCTGCTTTTGTGGTTACAGCGTGTCCGCCAGCAACTTCTGAGCTGTTTTGTTGCATTTTTTTCTCCTTGTTTTGTTGCGTTGTGTCCTGAGAGATGCCTACAAGCCCTTTAAACCCCAAGCGCTGCCTCGCATCTCACGGCCCTTCCCTTGGGTTGGGGACAGATTCGAGCGCTCGGCGTCTTCTGGAAGCCTTGCCGGAAAGGAGCGGAGCGTGTTTCAGCGTTTGTGCCAGCAGCAGGAACAGAAGCAGGGCTTGGAGCTCCAGCAGGAGCAGGAACAGGAGGCTGGCCCCACAGAGAAGGCCAGCTTGCACAGGGAGGAGCCAGGGCCGGCGGTGAAGCTGGGGCGCTTGGCCTCACTCGACGCGTTGGGCAGGCGGCGGCGGCGTGCGGATGCGGGAGGGAAATCAATGAGGAGTCATAGCGAAGACGGCTCTCCAGCCAAGGGGAAGGAGCAGGCCTCGCCGAAGGGAGCTGACATTTGGGGATTACTGGAGGAGGGAGCACGGGGGAGCCTCGCGGCTCTGGCTGCCAGCCCCAGCCGGCGCTAACATCTGGGCACAGCTGTTTGCCGGAGCCCTTTCCGCGGCCGCCCCCCGGCTCGTTTCGCAGCCATGGAATCGAACGGCACCTTCCTCGCCTGCAACAGTAAGTCTGTGCAAACGTCCTTGCGTTTCAGCCCTTTTATCTCATGTGAGAGCTTGCTTTTTTCCTCCTCTCTCCTCCCTCCCCCTTTGCCGCTGCAGTTCTCTCAGTTGGAAGCAACGCGGCGTTTCAATCAGCGTTACGGGGGAGAGGTGACAGATTTTTCTCTTTTATTAGGGTTAGATGTGTTGCTCGGAAGGGTGTCTTGGCTGATCAGCGTGTGCGAGCCCAGCCGGGCTGATCCAAATCTCCTCCCCTTTATGGTGAAACTGGGAGCGGGACAGATGCTCAGCGGAGTAAATCAGGCTCAGGGGAAGGCAGCAGAGCCAGGATAACTCTCTTCGGCTCAGTGTCTGCCACCCAAGACTCTGTAAATACTCTGTAAAATACAAGTAATGTTTCTAAACAAAAAGAAATCCTCTCAGCCTTGACAGCAAGTGAGATTTAAGAAGTCTTGATCAGTACCAAGCTGAGGAGGCTTGTCTGATAGGCAGGGTAATGAAATATGCCTTATTCCCTAGTCTGACGTGTATATGTCGATCTGTTACCTCTTCATTGTGTTTTATTCACTCTGATGAGCAGGAACAGCTCAGGACTTGAAATGGGCAAAGTCTATGTGCTTATTTGTTGTTCTTGGGATAGGTGCTTTCTTCCTGTAGATGAGCTATAAATAAAAATAAATTGATAGATCGATCTGTGATTGACTGTAAACAGAACCAGGTAGCATTGCCAAGCAAAATGTGAAAAAAATCACCCCCAGGCTCAAGAAATCTTCCCTCTGCTTTTCCCAGAACCTAGAAATCAGGCAGGAAGGTGAAACTGAGGTTAATGCTAAACTTTGTGTAGGTATCTCATTCATTATAGAGCCACTGGGGAAAGAAAGCTAGGAAATACATCTGGAACTATTAAAAGCTTTCCTAATCTGGCTTGTAGGTCATTTTTCAGTGAATATTACTTTTTTTTTTTGTGTGTGTGTGGTGTTAGGGACCGGGAAGAATTCAGTGTCTGTTTGTTATTCTATTTTCTTGTCTCAGACAGAAAAATAGACAAGTATGGAATGAGCTGTGTGCTTTCAGAAAACTATTTGCTGAAATTCCTTGGCACATACGTGCACAAGTGCCAAAGTCACTCCGAATGCCAGACTTCTTAGACAGGAGAGGTTGCTCACGTGCTGGTTACTTAGCAGGATCAGACTTGTGCTGCTCCATTTGTCAGAAATTTCTCAGATACTGTGGTTTATAGCTATGTTTTATCTTTGGCTTGGTGTTTTGAAGCTCAATTTATCCCTGTCCCACATGGACACAACTGTGTTTGCTGTGTCAGAATTAACCACAGACACTCGGTTCCATCCCAGCACGCAGTAAGAGACCCCTGGGATGTCTTCCAGTAGCAACTGTTTTGATGAGAGTTTCCGAAAAGTTTGTAGAGTTTTGTTTGTTCTGTCTTTGGATGGAGATCTGAATCCTGGGATGAAAACTGAGTGTGCTCTCTTGTCCGTAGACCCGTGTAGCTGCTGTGATTTAGTGGTCTGTGCCTTTTATTCTGGATGTGTTTGATTCAGCTGTATGGGCTTCTTGGTGCTTTTTTTTTTTATAAAAGGTCATCTGCATTTATTATACAATGGATCTGCCGGACTCTGTGGGCTATTAATAAGCTTTCTTTTGCCTCATGAACCTGGCATGTATGTGAACTGGGGGTCCTTGTGCTCACCCAGATTGTAGAATAGCTAATTTGTGCTATGCCTTATTCTTACACACTGACCTCTTCATCCCAGACACTGTGCACATTGTGCGGGGAATGCCAGAGCCCCGTTACAGGAATGCCTTCTGCCACAGCCCAGGGTGAGAGTCAGCAGGGAGGGGCTCGTAAAATCCTACAGAACAGGCCGTTTCCTTGTTTTTCTGTCAGCCGATCCCGAGGACTAACTTCTCTTGGGTTTAGATTTCCAAATGAATCATCTCCACCTGCCCTTCGAAGCTGGGAGTGCTGAGAAGGCGCCTTCTGGGCTTCACCCTCCGTGGGTGGAGGTGATGCTGCTTGGCATCAGCTGAGATCTGCTCCGGAGCAGCCGGTGCCTTTGATCTCCTTTCCTGCAAACAAGATACGCCTGGCACACCTGGATTGTTGGAGGTTGTGCCAGATGCATGACGTGGGGTTTTTTAAAGCCACAACTTTGCCAGTAGTGCAGGAGAATTTGCCATACTGGCGCTGCTCGGTGCATTAAACATGCAGCGTTCCCTTTTTGCACAGGACAAGTCAAAGTCATCTTGGAACTTTTTTTATTTTCAATCAAAAACTGCTAAATGTCCAATCAGAGCAATGCTTTTTAAATAAAACTAAAGCCCTTAATTGGTTTTAAGACAATGCGCAAAGCCCCAACATCAGGCTCAGAAGCAGATGAGTAGAGCCAAAAGACGCTTGTGGAAAAATAGATTTTAAAGAAGAAATGAAAGAGGAGGAAGAAGGAAATGCAGTCACTTGGAAAACTGCTGCAGGTAGCAGGGATGAAAGGACACTGCCAAGTACAGGGAAAAGCAAGAGGAAGAGGTGTGAGGATGGGGTGGTTTGTGCAAGGTCAGGAAACTCAGCCAACTGGACAGGCAGCTCTGGGAACCGCAGGTGTTGATTTGGGAGCAAAGTATAGTTTCCTTCACTGGCAGATCACGTATATATAAACAGGTATTAATAGGGAAAACTGCATCGTGCTCTTGGTGATTTGACCATCCAGGGTGGGAATCCACTAGCTAAACGCAGGCGTCTGCAGGAAATTGTAGACTTGCAGGGATGAGTTACACGTCTCCTGGCCCCTTGCTCAGCACACTGCAGTTATCACAGGATCCCAGAATCGTTTAGGTTGGAAGAGACCTCCGAGATCACCTAGGCCAACCTAAAATCTAAATATCTAAATACTGTCAGACTCACCCCCAGTCCTTGCATCTCCAAAATCCTTCCCATGGGTGGAGCATCTCAGTCCTTACTCAGTCGAGCCCACCAGAATGGGTGGCTGCAGACCTGGGGTCAAACCTGAAGGTTTCTCTTTTTCTTTATGCAGGTAGAGAAGATTTTGCCACAATTTCTTCTAAACCAAGATACTTCCACACCTTAAATAAGCCACTTGAGATGGTGTGTGGGGAGAAAGCCTCACACCTTGGGCTGCCCCTCACACAGGTGTCTTTTAAGGCCCTGTGTTGAGAGACACACAAGTCTTGGCTATTTCTGGCTCTAGTTACAGAGTGATGAAATTCCAGATAAATCACACAGGGAAAAAAAAAAAGAAAAAGAAAAAAAAAAAAAAGATATTTTTTCCCCTAGTTTTGCATAACTCAGTGGTGCAATTTGATTATTGCACAAATTTTGCCCTGCGGTGGAATGCTCTGAGTGGCCTGCTTTTTGGCCAGGGAGGAAATCTCAGCTCCTGAATATGATGTTGAGAAAAGCTGTTAAGTGGCCTGAAAACAAAAAATGATTGAAGCTGGTACCCACCTACAATTGACTTTGGTTTCATGACGTGAAAGTCTTCATCAGTATGTGCTGAGAGATGTGACTTAGGAATTGTCACATTAGGACAGCCACAACACGATGCCTGGGATCAACTCCTCCTACACGAAGCTTTAAGATCACCCTGCTTCTGCTCGGCAGGACCTCTCGGGCACATTGGACGAGAAGTAGAGTGGGCGAGAAAAGCCAGAGTAAGGAAGAAAAGAGAGGTTTGCTGATGCTGCCACCAACTTTGTGGAGAAGCCCATTCTCAGTGTCACCACAAGGTGGAACTTGGTCCATACCACATGCACCGAAATGCATCCATGCTCACCGAGCAGCAGCAGCTTTGGCCAGAGATGCAATGATGTTTGTGGTCACAGTCCCCCCTCCCTGCTCCCCACTCCCCCAGAGGGAGCAAAAAGGGGAGAGCTGCTGTAGAGGAACCACTGGCATTTTTTAGTGGTGGTGGTGGTGAGAAACTGGCTGTTCCAGCAGCAAAGCCTGGTGCTGTGGTGTAACTGGGGAAAACAAAGCTGAGAGACAGTGGTGGGTAGCAAGGAAGGGGGAAATGGAAGCAAATGGAAAATGGAAGCTAATGGAAACGGAAGGAGGAAAATCCCAGGCAAGAGCTGATGTAAAAGCCAGGTGTATGCAACCATGGGTTGATGGCACATAACAAAAGGGGTCTCTCAGAGGCACCTCACAGGTGACATCAGTGTTTTGCAAAAGCACTTAGAAAACCAACTGATTTATTTGTCACTTGGCAGGTTTTCTGCTTTTCTGAACAGCAGCCGCTGCCCATTGCTGCAGGTGGCTGTGCTCATTTCCACGCAGCCGGCGCACTGACAGCACTCCTCATAAATAATGTGCAAAAAAAATAAATAAATAGTGTGCAAAATAATCCTCGGACTTCATTGACCACCAGAAACTTCAGGTTCTGAGGGCTCCATCACCCTAAGCAGCAACGGCAGGTTGTTGTGTAACTACAAATCAGCTGGACCACAACTTTTCCAAGCTTTCATTGATTCTCAGTTCACCTGGATTAAAAGCTCTTGCTCCTGGTGAGGGCGAGGAATTGGTAGGGCGAGCAGTGATACTTTTACTGTGCTGTTACTCTTTTTTAAATAATTCTGTTGAATTTCACCGTGGGTGAGCCTGGGAGGGAAGCTGAAATTAATATTAAAATACTTCAAAGAAAAGCATCCCGTGAAATAGACCTTCTTCCTTTTTGATAAGGAATAAGAGCAATGAACAACCTTTGACCTCATTAGTGGGATTTCCCCCCAAATTGAGATGTGTAGGTGTTTTGCAGCTGCCAGAGGCGTTACTAGTCCTAATAGAGCAATTTACATCATGTGCCTGATGCAATGGGGAAGTGGTGAGGGCATCACCAGCATGGATATTTTCATTCCAGTCCCAAATTATCACAAGTCGGGGCAAATCAGCAGTTGATGGCTGTCAGGTCATTGGGGTCAGCATGGTGTAAAGAGGTTGCCATCAGTAATAGGGCTGCACCACTTCTGGTATTGCCCAAACGTAGCCACGGTAGGTGACCAGTTCCAACCCCAAACCAACCTGCTTCTTCCTCTGTGAGTGGTAACAGAGCTTCCTTTGGTCCTTTGCATACGGATGTGATAAAGATTAATTCATTCTGGAAAATTGCCTGAAGAGCAGCCTCGGCATTAATAGTTTTCTCACATAGCCCATTTCCTATCAGGCTCTCCAGCCTTTCTGTCTCAAGTGCCTGTTTCCTGCATATTGAAGCACTTTGCTAACTTCAGGACCGTGTTCTGACAACCTCATTCCCATCAATTTCCATTTGCTCCGCGAGTAATCTAGCCAGAATCGATAGGATGATTAGCAAAGCCCCGATCCTGGGCACAAGGACATGAATAACTTCACTCATGTGACTAGTGCCATCGATTTCAGTGGGGTTGGTCATAGGGGTAAAATTGCATGGCTGAGTGTTCCCAGGCTTCGGCCCCAGTCAGGTGTTACCTGCAGTGAATAAGGGCTGGAGAATTTATCCCTGAGCCATTGAAGGAATCATTTCCTTCAGCACCAGCATGTGACACAGCATCAGGTAACATCAATGAGTACCCTGCAGTGCCACACTTACCCATCATGGCTTGTCTATCAGATATGACATTATCTCTAAATGACCTCAAGACCACAATAGATCCAGATCTCTTGTTTCCCCAAGCAGGGTGTTTCTGGCCCAGTGTTGTCATTTTTGTTTTAAAAACAAACTGATTTTATCTGCCTGGCATTTCCGAAGCGTTCACAACAGAACTTGCTCATTGCTGCTCTGGAGAAATGTCTAAACTTGGTGAGCGCCGAGATCCTGTGCTTTGCGTATGTGTAAACTTCAGGGATAAGTACAATAAAATGTTCTCTGAGAGCCTGAGAGGCTCTGGGCAGTGCTGTTGCTGACACTTTTTATTAGGAATTAATGAGAAAATGAGGCAGAAGGGATCTGCGTGCTCCCAAACTGATCCCTATGGGACACTGGCTGCTGGGAGAGCTGGTGCACAGAAGCAAACTGTTTTGCCAAGGCGAGTACAAGAGATGACTCTCTTCCCCGCTCCTTAATTAAATCAGCACTCTCCAGTACAATGTGAAATATGGGCAGTGCTCAGAGCCTGCTAGCTAATAAGCATGAGCTAGCCATCACATCACGGTGCTCACCCACCCGCCAGGGCAAGGGCAAGCCCCCCACTGCCGGGGGAGGGCTACAAAGACTTCTGGCACCAGCACAGAGGGCTCAGAAGAGGCTGGGGGTATTTCCTCAAGCACACTGCCTGGCTGATGTGTTCGGCAGTGTCCCATCCATAAAATGCCTTTATTTTCCTTTGCCTTCTGTGACTGGGAGCTGCTATAATAAGGCGTTACTAGTTGTGCTGCTGTTCAAGGCCAGGCAGTGGCTCTGCCTTGTCCCCAGTGAGTTTCTTACTCACTGTGCCAGGGATTAATGACTCCGATCCTGTCCTTGTGCTGGTCGGGTCACGCAGTCATCTGTGCTGATCTATGTGTGTTAGGAGGGCTTCCTCCAAAATACAGAGAAAGAGGAGGATGGCTGGGGTGCCAGACACCTGAAATAGAGAATCTGTTTCTAAAACCAAACACAAAATGCACTGGGTGTGATGGGGACTGATGATGGAGAGACCTGGATCTCCAGTAGAGATGGTGACACGTGGTTTGCCGTCGAGCTTCTTGGGCAGATCCTGGTTCTGCAGTAAGGGGACATTCACTCCAGTTTGGATCCATCTCCCCTCATTATTTTCACTTGTGGCTGGCTTTTCAGGGCGGCAGCTCTGCAAAGGCAATGACAAAAACCTGACAAGGTCTGTAAATTCACCTAGGATGGGACAGCTTAATAAGCAGAGCTCTGCATTTCACTGCAGAAGGAGTCATGGCTAGGAAAGACATGGATTTTAATCTGAATCATTGCCAGGAGAATAGGCAATAAACACGAGGGTCAGCAATTTACATAAACAACTTAAACTTATATAAACAAATTCTTCACTATGAGAGTGTCTAACCTCTTGAACAGTGGTCTAGATCAGCTGTTAAGTTTCCGTCCCTAGAGATATCCCAAACTCACCTGGACAAGGCTCTGAGCACCTGATCTGCATTTGAAGTGACCCCACCTTGGGTGGGTGGTTGACCAGGAGACCACCAGCTGTGATTCTCTATAACCAACTTGTTAACTTGTTAACTTGCTTGGGATAAGCCCCCATCGGAGGTTAACATGTAGAGGTGTAAGCCCTCTACATGTAAACCTGAACTACGAGAATAAACCCATAGCTATGCAGAAACACAGGGTAAGTGACTCACCCAAGTCACGTAGGAAATCGGTGGCAGGGAAGACATTCTCCGGAGTCTCAGGAAAATGCTCTCCCCTAGGTGGAAATAAGAGTATTAAAACAATTTCCGAGTGGCTTTCGGGCTACGTCTGCCTGCCCCGGTGTTTTTAGCTTCCTGTATGTCAATCGCTGCATGTCAGTGGGAACAACACAGAGCTCGGCACAGAAGGAAAGGGTGGAGCCGAGGTCCCTGAGCCAGGCGTTTGTGGGCAGGCTGAGCTGACGAGCCCCCTGGAGCCACAGGCAATATTTGGGGCCCCTCCAGCCCCTGGAAAGGAGGCACAAAACCCCACTGGCTGCCTGTAGGAAAACTCGCTCCTTCTACCTGGGCCGCTGCCGGCAGACAGCCGGCTGTAATTTGGCACCCAACGCATGCAGCCGATGAGCAAGCAGGAGGAGAGACTTCCATAGTCCCACCCCTAGCCGGACTCTGCCCTCCTCTGCCTGCTTCTGCCTGGCCTTTCCTCGCTGCCTCTTTTCCCTCCTTGGAGCCCAGTTGGACACGGCGAACGCCCCGGGGTTCCTGGATGAGCAGGGATCCCCTTGGGGCCGACAGGGCCCCCCATCCTTCCCGGAGTGCGGTGCTTCGTTGCGAGCCCTACGCTGGACCATGCAGTGCTTCCGAAGGCCGCCCAAACGCACCGCGTCCCAGGAGAACATCCTGCGGGAGCAGAGCCGTCAAGTGGCCGCACAGAATGGCAGCAGGCTGGGTAAGGGCCACGTTGGCCAGACCCTCGGCGCTTCCACACGCTGGCAGCCGCTTCGCTTCTGCCTCTTTTCCCTGCGCAGAGGCAGCGCTCCACCCTACAGGCAGCTCCGAGGTTATTTTTAAACTCCCGAGGTTTCTTTTCCTTTCCTTTGCCTGTAACCACCCGCCAGATGTAGGAACCACGTCGGTCGAGGCATCAAAGAAAGAGGGTCCTCCCTGGCAGAGGGTGGGTTCGCAGATCTCTTGCTGGGCTTTGGAGCTGGTGGTGCTGTGAGGGTGTTTGGGGGTGGCGGTGCCTCTTTTCTGCCCGGTTTTAGGACTTGTCAGCGGTGCGGTGCCAGCTGATTACAGCCCGAGGAACCACTCAGAGGGCTGCGTTCACCAGATGAAAAGAGACAGGAAACCCCAGCGAGTTTCGTAACTTCTCTGACTACGAATTTACGGCTAGTGCCTGCTGTCTGGAGAGACAGCCCAAGTGGATGCGGGTCCGTTGATTTACGTGGCTACAGACAGCAGGTGGAAATGGAAAATCACCATTCAATCCCCCCCGAGCTGTCTGTGTTTAATCTGAAAGGCTTTCTGCCCTTTTAAACTGGCAATCCTGAGCTGTGCCTGGTCCTCAACCAGGTGGGAGAGAGGAGCAGGCAGGAGGAGGCTTGTTTTATAGCAGCCGTAATTGATGTTTTTATCAGATCAGCAGATTTGCAAAGCGAGCAGAAATACAGACTGTCGCTGTCGCCTGTAAATATCATCCCAACTATCTCCTCAGTGAACTCAGAGCCAGGCTGCTGCCTTGACAGTTGTTGTTTTATGGTGTTCCCTGCTTGCTGTAAACCTGAGATGGGTAACACAAAGGTTAACGTTTTGGGGCTCTTGGTGTCTAAAGCTTCATAGTGCAGGATATTAACTTCATGCTCGCGGTGGTGCTGTGTGTGCTCGAGGCTCTCCTACCTCTGCCAAATGCAATTTTCCCTCTGAACAGTTCTGTACACTACGTGTGTTGTGTTTAGCAAGTGTTTGACTGATATTTTTAAGGAGGGGGGCCTGACCCTTGAAACACATAGCACAATTTTGTGTGACAGGTGTGTATTTGGTGTTTTGCAGAGGATGCTAAGCAAGACACGGCCCTGCCACATGTTTCAGGCAGGATTTGGACATCTATTTCAGCGTGGCGATCGTGTTTCTCGTGCCCAGCACTGTTATATAATTGCAAACCTAGATCCCTGTCCCACTGCACAGTGTTTCTGGATCGTTAGATGACGTTTGTATATGACAACTCTGGCTTTTTTTATACAGAAGTTTCCATTGCTGTGAGACAGAGCTCTGCACGGCCAACCTCATCAGCTCCCTGGGGATGTCTGGTAGAAATCCCCAGGGGCTGGTTTGGGTATAAAACCAAAAATGAAGGTTCTGCTTTGAAAAGATGTTTTTTGTAGGTTTGTTTTTTTTCAGGAAAGCAATTCAAATAACCAACTGAGAGTCATGTCCCACTGACACACTGGGGTTGCATTTGTGGCCCTATATTGTCAGATCAGAGCATGTTGTGGTCCATCTCTGACCTAATAAAACGCTGTTATCTGCCTCGTAGGTAGGAACAGAGAAGCTAAGAGCCTTGCCCAAGGTCATTTAAAGAGTCTGTTGTAGTGCTTAGACCCGGCATAGGATGCAGGGACCAAAACACGGGCCTTATTCCTTCCTCTGGGCCTACCGTGGTGGCTCAATCCGTATTTTGGGTTACTGTTGGCAGAGGTCAACTCTGGGTGAATGCTGTGTATCTGAAAGGCCCCATGAGAGTACCAACCTCCCACATCAGAGGGGTGATGGAGCTCTTAGACACCCATCCTTAACCCTCTTGTCCTTTCCTGACCAAATTCACCATCTTCTGGAGGCAAACTTGTTTCCATCCCCTCCCTGGCTTCTCTCGCTGCCCTCTGATTCACGCTCCCTGACATCTTTGATCTTTGATCTCTGCTGTCCTTTCACCATGCACTTTCTCTCTTCATCTTTTTCTCCTACTTCTGTGAAGGGCAGTAGCCTCCTTCACTGTGTCATTGAACCTGTCCTGGTCTTTGGTCACAGTGGCCAAGGATGGGTGGGGATGGCTGGCAGGGCTGTTCCCAACCTGTAGTTGGATCCTCCGAAGAGGAAAGAGAATTTTGTCCCATGCTAATGCAAGGCCTGGGCTATGAGAAGGATGAAGGGCTCACTCCAGCTTGTGTCCTACCCACGTGGATCTAGCTTGGAGGAGACAAACCTACCCCTGACTACTGCTAGTGGCCATCCAAATTTGCCCTTATGACATTGATGCAGCTTTTTGATCAGTTACCATGACATGTTATGCATGCTGCATACAGAGTCTGTACCACAAAAACATGTCACAGTCAGCAGGGGTTTCTCATTGCACACTTATGCACATAGGCATCCAAAGGAATTGGTGGTTTTCCTGCTCATGTCACCCCAGGATGGCATGTCCTCCTTCTAGTCCCATAACAATGCCTTGCATGGTTGGGGTCTGAGGGAAGATGGAGTGAGGCTGGGAGCCAGAACATACATTTTGTGGGTAAACACAGAGGAGGAAGTTTGTTCCCTCTCCAGAAACCTTCAGGGGTACCACATCACTGTTAGTGAAGCCTAAGTCTGCAATTCTTTGTGCTTGAAAGGCCTTAGGATCAGAGAGGAAGCCTCGACACTGCAGCTCAGGAGGCCGATGCCTTGTGGGGCTGTTGTGGTGTCAGTCCTTCCTGTGGATGGTCTGGCCTCTTGTAGACTGGGTATGCTTGAACCTCAGCAAACCTAAGAGGGTGTCCCAGATCCCACAGCTGAGATCAATCTTTCACCCTTCTGTGCCTTGTGGGAGCCAGATTTTTCCTTCTCACCATGAATTTCTTCCTGAAGTTTCCAGGGGAAGCATTCAATTCCTCCTCCTGGGCACTTCCAAACCTGACATTGGAGCTGAGAGGCTGTAGCATGTGCAGGCACTTAATTACTGATACAACTAATTGAATGTAGAGGAAAGAAAGAGGCCACAGCAACCTCTTCATGATCTTCAGCTCCTGTTGTGGTGCTTTCAATTCTGGATGCCTCAGTGAGGCTCAGCTCCAGGCCTGCTCCTGCTCAGCTCCAGGCCTGCTCCTCGGTGTTGGAAACCAGTGAGGTGCCCTGAGCTGCTTACTGGGTGGACACAGGACACCCCTAATATTTAACTCTGACAGAGATCGCAGACTTTACCAACCTAAAATGACCATGTTTCGTTTTTCATGCAGGACTGAAGCAATGCTTTGTGGTTTATTGCCTTGTCCTGTTCAAAGAGCGGCCGTTCAAGGCAGCTCTACCCAGGGAGGAACAAACCCAATGGCCCAGGGGAATGCCACGCTGCAGTATAAATCTTATTGCACAAATCAATTAACTCAGATTCCTGCTTTGTGGGGCTCTGTGTTGTGTTTATGTAGTGCTGGGACATATCCTATGATGGGAGTGTCAGGTGGCTGCAAGTGGCCAAGTAGTTATTAGTGACAGCCTCACCTGCATCCTCAAGATAAGGTTAGCAGAAGTCATGCTGAGTTGGAGTTGGGCTTGTTCAATGCTACGGAGCTAAATGTTGTTTCACCAGCTTTGAAACAGCCTTTTATGCAATGTCAGAGCTGCAAGGTGCCTATTACAGGAAGCCCAGGGTGTGTTCCTCATGTTTCATTCTCCTGCTGCCCCCCACCCGCCCTGCACCAGTTCACACACTGCAGATCTCTAATTAATGGTTGGTCTGAGGGACAAAATCTCCAAGGTATTTAGGTATGTGGAAGTCATATACTTCTGAGACGTTCAAAACCATGTAGAATGTCAAATGTATGTTTTGAAAGCGTTAGTAGATGACTGTTGCTTCTCTGGATGTCTAAGTGCCTTCCTGAAGCTGGTCTGAGATGAGAAATCTCTGCAGGTGCTGGGACCAGAAGGGGACAGCTTTTCAGAGAGGGACCTGTTTTCCTGAAGGAAATTTGCTGTGAATAGAGCTGAATTCTCTTCAAAGCTCCTAACAGTGCTCCAATTAAACGTTACACAACTTTCCTGCCTCTGCTTTTACTTTTATGCTGTTGTTCTTGCATCTTAACTATATTTACTGTGAAGGAAATATTTGATGCTTGTAAACCACCTGAGAGTTGTAGTACAGAAATCTTTAGACTCAGTCTAAGAAATCCACAAGGCTCCAGTCTCTTTTGTGAGCATAAAATGTGATGTGGCAGATTTCTGGGTCTCTACTCCACCATTCTCCCCAGAGCTGGCTGCACTGTAGTGCTCTGTTTATGTCTCTGACTTATGTCCTGCTGAAGGGAAGACCCTGTGTACATCATTTCTTGTGCTAGCTCTTACGTATGATTATCACTACTCTTTCTCCCCAGGCCTGAAAGATGACAAGGATCTGAAGTTCCTCCTGAAAGGCAGCCAGCTGCTGAAGGTGAAGTCCAGCTCTTGGAGGAAGGAGCGGTTTTATAAGCTCCAGGAGGACTGCAAAACAATATGGCAGGAATCGAAGAAGATGCTGAGGTCTCCAGAGTCACAGATCTGTAAGTAAAGTCTGCATCATCGCAGGCGTGGGGCATGGTCTGCAGAGGTGCTTGGGGTGAACCAGGACGTGCTTGTGGTGCAAAGGCAGGGCTTGGAGCAACGCGACCAGATCCTTCCCTCGTCCTGTATCATACACTGAGTTATGCTGTCTGTTTTGGAGACAGCTGGGAGGAATCTGCCGAGTCGGGAATGGCCGCATTTCCCAAGCTCGTGAGCTACTGCTTAAAATTGTCATGGGGTAGAATGAACCACAGGGGCTGTGTGGCGTGGCGTGGCGTGATGCGGTGTGCAGAGGGAAGGGCACGCCAGCAGCAGTTGGCACCCAGGTGTCCTGTTGTGTTGAGGGATTGTCCCATTGGGGCATTGGGCTGTGCCGGGCTCAGCAGCCCTACCTGGCGTATTTCCTCTCCAAATAAAGGGTTTGGGTTACTCAGGTGTCTCTGTGGGGACACCTGAATGTGTAATGCATGGTGTGTGATGTGGCTTGAGCATCTGTGGCGTGGTATGGGGCACTTTGGCTGCTGATTTGGGATCTGCCAGGACAGGTATCTTTGGGAAGGAGAACCTATTCCCATCCTTATCTTGGAAATTCACAATCTGCCCCATTGTAAGAAGTCCAGATATGACAGTCACTATTGCACAGGCACAAGGACAGCCATTCATCCCCAGTATCACCCAGCTCAGAGTCATAACTGGGAACAGGGGCTCCTGGTCCTGCCATGTGCTGTCAAAATGGGATCAGGCAGTGTATGTATTTCTTTGTATCTGCTTTATTTCCTTCCCTTTTTTTTTCCTGACATATTTCACTGTCACTGATAATCATGGTCTGGTAAAGACAGGAGGTAAATGAATAATGTGGAACTTATTTTATAGCATACTAAAATGTAGAACATGCTGCCTGGGTTATTTACACTGTTTGCTTTTAACAGTTACAGCTAACTAAGTGAAGAGTGGGTCTTCCAAACTACTCCATCCCTCTCCCAGAAATGGTGAGGAGGAGTAAGGTAGCAGAGCAAAATATGTTTAGTTTACAACCCAAATCTTTTATATGACTTTTGCCAGCTCATTTAATCTCTTTGTGCATCCTTTTCCCCTGCATTTCCTTTCTCCTCCTCAATCTAGCTGTAAAAAGCTTTGGATTAGAGACTGTCCCTTGCTGTGTGCTTGCATGTCCCGCATGGTCCTAAGCTCAGCAGGGTCCTGAGCTCAGCTGGGCTGTTTAGGTACCAGTGCAATACCCCATAATAACACTTGAGCATTTGCTCCCTAGCAATGTCTGTTACATGGAGCTCTGTCCCAGATAAAAGCTAAATCCTTTCCCAGATTATGTCTTCCTACAAAACAAACAAGGGCGTGAGTGGAGAAGAATGGCTTTCAGAGCTTTCTTTCCTGTGCTCTGAGCCAGCAGTTTCCAAATTACAGGGGCTGAGGACACCTCCAGCAACATTCCCACCCCAGCTGATCCTCTGAAGTGAACAGGAGGGGTGCTTGTGCCGTGACTTCATGGACCTTGAGGTCTGCTCAGAGGAGCACTGGTCAATCCCATTCTCTCCATCGCTGGGCCAGTGGCATGGAGAACTGGCCCCACCGTAACTTTATTCTGTGTTAAGTTGCAATAAGAGCCCCACAGGAAGATCAAATCCTTTGAGCTGGGTGTTGGGCACAGGCTGGGAGTGTGTCTGCGTGGGTGTGGATTAACACCACCCGAGATAGACTTTGCTAACCGGGCCCAGTTAACGTTATTGCGCTGCTGGGGATGGAGGCAGTGCAGAACCAGCTCTGCCCTAGGAGTGTCCTTGGTGCAGTGCAAGGATGGAGTAGAACTGCCTATTGACGCACACCCACAGATGTGCTCCATAACACTCCCACACATTCACACCTTTCCCCACAGAAAGTCTTTTTATTTTTTTTTTTTATCGTCAAGAGACCAGGAAGGGAGACAAGGCAGCTGAGGCACAGCTGTCCTTGCTGCTCTGAAAAAGCAAAGGGCAGCAGTGAAGCTGCTGGCTCTGCACCTTTGTGCCCTGCTGGCTGTAGAAGCGTGCCTGATGTCAGCTTGACCAACCAAGCACGCTGGAGCAGGCCACGTCCCACACGCTCCTGGGAGGACGTGCAGGTATGCTGGAGGTGCTGGCACAAGTTTTTGGGAGGGTTGGATGGCCACCTTGGGGCTGCTTCAACAAGCACAGTGGATGTGCCTGAACCTGGAAGTCAACAGGAGAGATGAATACAGGACTGATGCCTGCCCAGTCCCCAGCCAAAACCCCAAGGCCACCCATTTTCCCATGCCTTTCTCCTCTCTTGGTCCTCCAGGACCTTTCATTCCCAAGTCTTCAGGGTGATTGCTGGTTTTGGGTTTGTTTATTGGGCATTTGACTTCACCGGGATGCTTTGTGTTTAGGTACAGAGAGGATTGCCCCTGGTTCACGTTGTGTCCTCTGGCAGGCTTTATTGCTGTGGCCACCTTCTCGTTTGGTTTGGTGTGTGTAGGCAGTCAGAAGACAGAGGAAGAGTTCAGGTTCACTGATTTTATACACAAAAACAAGAATTTCAAGGCGAGTCTCTCCAAAGGGTCACCCTTCCTGGTTAACAGATTCCAGTGCACTCCAGGGCAAAGCCTTTCTAAAACTGATGATAAGCTGCTTTTTTTTTAAGGAAGGAAAAAGAATGAGCTGAATGGAAACTGGGAGGTTTGAGCAGCAAGGCCTAATCTTATCTGCAGCTGAACTCAGAACAGGCATATGGAGGCACCTCAGAGGAGCAAAGTCTGGATAGGGTAAGGGTTATGTTTTTTATTCGGGCAGTTTCCTGTTATTCCTCTTGCTGTTCTTATAATCAGGCAGAAAAGCTACTCGTAAACCATTGTGTGCTGGTGTCTGTAGGAGATAAAACTGCGGATCTCTAGGGATAGACAGGAGAATCTCAGCTGACTGAAGTTGAAAAAAACCAACATATCAGGGTTGTCACAGGCACAGATGTTGCCTGGGCCAGATACAAGGCATACAACCATTACCTTCCTCTGCCTTTATTTTAAACAACTGGAAATTTAGATAGGATGCTGTCTTGATATCTCTTATTACCTACAGGGCTTTTTTGGGGGAATAGGCTGCCCTTCTAATATGGTTGCTACACGGGAGGAATGTAATCCATTTTTTCCCTTTTTATCCATAATCCATTATTTTTCAATACTTCCATTTAGACCCAAGGAATGAGTTTTTCAAAAAGCCCCTGAAGCACCTTAAGGGGACAGTTCTCCAACAAATGTTAAACCACGATCCCTCAGGGTTCAAGTGGCAGGATTAACAGTTTGGGGGAAAAAGAAGAGGTTTGTGCAAGGGATCTGGTAGACAGCCAGTTCAATCAGTGCCCGTTCTCTCCTGAGCATCGTTATGGTGGGAGAGAGGGGAGGCAGAGAGGATTGCACTCAAGAAGCAGCAACCTGTCAGTAACGCTGTCTTGGCTAACTGTGGCCAAAGATCAGGTCTCATCTACACGTGCAAAAGAATAGAAAGCCACGTGCTGCTTTCAGTGAAATCAATTTTTGAAAGTTTTTTTCCTAAACCAGCTGAAATCCTCAGCTTGAGCTCACTTAAGCCAGCCTCAGTGCCTTCAGAAACTCTCTGAACTTGAGGATCTGTAGGATGGTTGAAAACTTTCCAGTGAAACACCCTTTGGGGCGGTTGGTGGAAAAACAGACTATTCAGAGGCGGAAGGAAAAGGCTGAATGAGTGGTTTAGATTCAAGGATACTACATCAGGGCCCCAGAGGAGCAGGTACCTCGCTGCCTCCTGCACCCTTTCTCTGTTGGAAGCTCAGGGAGATGACGTTTCCCATGACAGCCATGAGCGAGCTTCGCACACCACACAGGGGGTGACTCACTGGGGGTGCTTCGTTGAGTCATGAACTGTGCAATCAAGAAACAAGTTTAGGCGTTTTGGCTCAAACATTGCAATTTCTAGCCAAAAGCTTTACTGAAGTACTACTATTGTTGTATTTTTTTTTCTTTACTTTGGTTAAAAGAAAACAGTTTGGGAAGCAATTTACAGAGGCAAGCTATGCTCACTTGCACAACTGTTTAAATGAAGATTGTATTACTATTTTAAAGCATGAAATTGATATTTTCATCTAATGATTAATTAGCTTCAGTATTAAAAATGCACAGAATTTGTTCCAGTTCCTCCCAATTCCAACCCAATTATAGGATATTTTTATACAGTTTAAAGCTTTATAATACTCTGTACTACCAGTGTTCAGCAGAAAACTTTTTCCTTCAGTTTTCAGTTCTATTAAATTCAGGAACACCCTTGAAATGCCGCGTGATGAGCATACCATGCCACTTTTGTGGATGGATGAACGATTGCCTCCATTGAATTAATGCTCTGAACTTGCCTTTAGAAGAACAGAAAGGACGTGGTATTGCTCTGTGCCTGCTCAAGTCAAGAAGTAAAAACTTTAAGTTGATCCCGCGGATCTGATGAGTGCCAAAAGTCAACAGAAATTCTCAGCAACCTGTATGCACATAGCAGGAAACTGACTACACCAACAGCTTCCTTCTGGAGCTGGTTAGGCAGTTTCTCTAGGAATCGTTGCCTTCACGATCAGACATGTATTTGTCCCTGGAAAAATATTTGCTGATGTGAATATGTTATGCAAGGCAGCCATCAGCTGTGCAAACAAAACCGTCTGTCTGTGGGTCTCATTAGTTTTTATCAAAATCATTCAACCCATAAAACAAGTCACTTCAATTGCAGAGCTGCCTGTTTTTTCGATTTGATTTTAAATCAGGCCACTGCGTGAGTTTCTGGGACAGTTTTCATCACAGGCAGTCTGCTGGCAAATACCGACCTTATTCTCTATAGCAAGTTAAATGCAAAGGTGGAAGTGGTAAGAGCCTTAGATCCAAATTTAGTGGCAGGAGAAGTAGGAACTAGTGGCAAAAATAGTTTGCAGGGACTTGCTTGGTGTCTGGAATGTAAATAGAGATCACTATTTATATCAG